AGGGACTTTATGTCTGTGAACCAACTTGTGTTTGGAAACTGGGAGTGACTATGACTCTGCATTGTAGTTATGGAAGTCAGGATTTAGGCTGCCAGGTCTAGGGGGTTTTTTTATGGATTGAGCAATATTTTAGTCAACTGACTTTTAATTTTGTTCCTTAGAAATATCATGTATCATGTTCAATTAAGTACTATTAAGATCTCTGCAGGTTGAAATCTTCTGATTGCCACTTTTTGTCCAGGCTGTTTATTAACATAATTACTCCCATTTTTTTCTTACTGAATTCTGCCATTTCACCTCTGTGCTCTGGGATGTCATCATGTCCATTAGGGAGTCTTTTTCAGTGGTAACATCTCCCCATGTCATTCCCAACCCGTGGAAGACAGCCACTACAGAGTTTTTCAAGAATGCAGATTCCCTTGCTAATGTATTTCTCAATGTTTTAGTGCAATGTCCTCTGGGACCTCATAGATGATATAGTAGGAGGAGGTGTGTATATTCAGGTTGTACGTGGTACATCCATTTGAGCATTCCTGTTTTTCTCAGCATCTGGGTTTCTTCTTCATTTTGCCAGGAAAGTTCAGGCATTTCATCCTCGTTAAATGTAGACTCCTCTGTGACTTAAGTTTCATTCAGTCAACAAGCAAATGATTAAAGGTACTTATAACTGCCTAAGCAAACATGTTGTTTTTGGCTCTATCCAAACTCTTTTGGTCAAATTCATTTCAAATTCATTTCCATACCTATTCCCTAGGTTTTTGCTGATGTGATTTATCAAAATCTTATTATTATTTTTGGATATAAGCTATCTTCTCTCAGTTAAGATGTTGTACTTGTTCTCTTGGAGCAGACCTAGATCTGATTTTAGAGGCAACAAGGAGTGGTAGGGGTAGATTTTGAGAATAAGCATTCCCTTTCAAGGCAACTGTCTCAGGTAAGAGTATTACATTTTCAAGTTAAGAGGAGGCTAACCTTCTCAGTCATGGGAGGAGGAGCTGTTTCTGCTTACGAAAGAGGCTCAGAGAAACTCCAAGTGTTCAAGATTCTAACCTTCATTTGAGTTCACTTAGGTATCCTTGTTCCACACCTTAGGGTCCCATTCTTACCAAAACAAATGCTTAACTTTCGCAAAAGAGACTTCGAAAGTATATATATTCAACTTTCATTGTAGTTATGCAAGCTGTAAAATTAAATTTTGGGTCTAATTCTTAGCAGGATCATACCTGTGGTTACAAAAATAAGAAACTCTTTTTAAAAGGCCACTTCAGAAGGTCGGTAGTTTCTTATCCTGACTGGAACTGAAAGTTAAAAACCCTAAGTGTGTCATTTTCTTCTGTAAGTTCTCCGTTAGAATCAGAAGCAGCCAGCCCATAGTCCTTGTTGTCATCATTACCATCATAATGGTCAAGTCAAACGGTCATTTGATCCCCTTAGGCACTTGTTTCAATAGCTATGTGGTCATAATTAACTACAAGTGAATAATTTAATTAATCATTATGCCAGTACATGGCTTGATCACTAGTATCCTATTTTCCATTGGCAAGGAGCTCAGCAGTGCATTGAAGATCAAGGACATAATCAAGCCAATTCCTGAATCCTGTTTCCTGGGACACCTTCATTATCAAGATAATGAAACCACATAAGGGTATTTCAACAGAGGGAATTTAACGTAGGATTGGTTAGACAGGTATGGAAGCTAAAAGAGCAAAAAAGTATAACTGAAGTAACGTTGATATAATAACTTCGTCAGGAAGTTACCAGTCTTAGGTCTAGGGAACAAAGGGATTAACAAAACTTTGAAGCTCAGAGAGGCCCCTTGGAGCTGAGGATCAGACCTCTGTGGAATGCATACTGTCCAGCAGCTATTGGTATCTCTGGGGATGTCAGGAAACTGGTTTAAGATTGAAACTGGTTATAAGCTGAAAAAAGCAGGAGACTGAAAGCTACAGAGCGATGCTGATGGAAATGCATGCAAACAGAAAGAAGGAAGTCTTGGCTCCTGTCCTCCTAACTACTCATCTCTATCTAGTATCCCCTATTGGCAGAATCTATCAGGAAACCCAATGCCAAAGGAAAAGTATAATTTTGCAGAATCCTAGCCCCAGCATCACAGAATAGACTATAGAAGGGTGTATTTGGAGGTAAGAAAACAATGAGTCAGTAACCAGCCTCCTAACTTTAGCTGTGTATTTTATGTTCTGAGAAATCGTGACAAAATTTAGAGATGTGAAATACCATTGCACAGATTCTGTTATTAGATACTTAGGAGCTCACTCTGAGTTCCAACAGTGACATTCTTTCCTGCTTTGGACATTTTCTCTGTTTCTTTGTCTTCCAAGATTACTTTCCTTGAATCTAGCAATTGGGAGAAAGGGTAGGTTTTTGTCTTTGGATCAGTGATTGCTCGAGTATGTGAACTCTGGTGAGATCTAAGCTAGTCACTTTGAGACTTTTTTTGAGTAAGACCTACAATGAGAAATACTTGGAATCCAAAACACACATATACAATTATGTACCAGAATCAAAAGTTTTGTGAAACACTACATGGTCCTAACTATTAAGTGACACATACTGATAATTTGTATTCTATTCTGTCTTTAAAAGACAGGTCACAACTCATTAAATCAATGATATAATCTATAATTTCATAAACACTGATCAAAGCAATAGTGTGAGGTAAATATAAATATTTTCTCTTGCTTAATTGTATGAGCAGTGCTTAACTTGGCATGTTTTTGGTCAGTCTTGTTGTTCTATTCAGGTTCCCAGTCCCTTGTTTTTCATTAAATTCAGAGTGGGAAGAAAGATGTTTTAGGACTGAGCTTATAGTTCTGGTGGGTGGAAGATATATACAATAATGATGTTTCAGTGGAAGCATTCCTCATGTTCCCTCCCTCTCTACTTCTCCCAGTGGAGGAAAATAGTGACAATATATATGATAAATTAAGTCAGAGAAAAACCAAATTATTTAATAATTATTCCTCTACTCATTAGTTTGTCAAATATTTGAATACCTTCTATGGATAAAATCTTGAGCTCAGCGCAGAGAATGCAGCTGTTAAAAACACAAATGTGAAGGGGCCAGCCCCATGGCTTAGTGGTTGGGTTTGGCACTCTCTGCTTCGGCGGCCCGGGTTCCTGGGTTCGGATCTAGAGCGCGGACCTACAACACTCGTTGGCCATGCTGTGGCAGCCATCCTCATACAAAGTAGAGGGATATTGGCACAGATGTTAGCTCAGGGCTAATCTGTCTCAAGCAGAAAAAAAATTTAAAAAAAAGAGGAAGATTGGCAATAGATGTTAGCTTGGGGTAAATCTTCCTCAGCAAAAAACAAAACAAAACACAAATGTGAGCTTTGCCCTTGTGAACCTTATATTCCAGTGGGGAACTTAAATGTCAAATGATTAATTATACCACTAAATATATAATTGTTGATAGTGGTGAGGAACTAGAATGAGTCTGAGGTATTAAAACGTGCTCTGAGCTGAAAAACATTTAATCTGAGATATAAAGGATAAATATAATTAGCTAGAGAAAAGATGGAATTTCCGGATGGAATAGGAAGGAAAGAATATTCTTTGAAGGAATAGTCTATGTTCCCCCATGAAACATGAAGGATCAAAGTGAGACAGAAGAAATGAAAGGCTGTTGTGGCTATTAGCATAGATAGATGGAGATAGCATAGCACAAGGTAAGGATGGGAAGGTAGATAGGATTCAGATCATATCAGGGCCTTGTATGCCACTTTAACTATTTATATGAAGAGCAGATGGGAATATTGAAGAAAATGATATGAAGACGTTTCAGCCTTTAATTTCACTCTAGTGGTGGAATGGAATGAAATGCAGGGGAGCGAGGATACATATGGCAAGATTAGTTAGGAGGCTGTTACATTAGTCCATACAAGAGGTGATTGTGGCAGCTTTGGAGGAGAAAGGTGGATGACTTATGTAAAAGACATTTAGGAGGTAAAATTGAAAGGACTAATTAGATGTGGGAGTTGAGAGAGAAGAGGTCAAGGATAATACCAGAAGTTTCTAGCTTTAGTAGCTGCTATGAGGAATAATGGAGGAGGGTCAGGCTTGGGAAAACATTAATGAGTCAGACTTTGGATATACTGAGTTTGAGGTTTGAGATCTTACTAGGAATCAGGCACTGTGCTAGCTTTTCATATACGTTATCTGATTTAATCCTTACAAATGTAATTAACCCTTTCCCATTTTACAAATGAGACAGCTAGTAAGTGGACACAGCCAGGATTTCATTTTTATTTTTTAAGAAGGGAGAGATTGGAACATGTCTAAATATTATGGAGAAAAATCCAGAAGAGAAGATGTTGAAGATACTGGAAAGAAAAGTGATAATCTATAATGTAAAGCTAATGAGAAGATGATTTTAGATTTTGCATAGATAGAATGATGTCTCCTCTACTTTATGGGACAAAAGAAAGAGTACATATGCAAGTTAGTTTGTGGATTTGATGTCAAAAAGGTAAGGGAATTTCCTGTTGATGGCATTTGTTTTCTCTGCAAAGTAGAAAAAAATATATCGTCTTTTAAGACTGAGAAGTGAGATAGGGAGAATGGAGGTTTAAGGATGATAAAGTTTTGAAATAGTTTTTATGGAAAGTAGAGGTAATGAGTCAAATAATGATTCAGTGAGAAATGAGAATGAGCGAAGAAGACACTGTTCTTAATTTACAGAGTTTAAAATGTTATTTTACCAACATCATAACAACATAAGGCAAAAATCTAATTAAATGTTAAATGATATGTATGGTACTGCTGATAGACATAGAAAGGCAAGGATAGGAGGGAGAGTAATGTGGCCTTCAGTTACTGGGAAAGATTTCATGGAGCGAGTAGAACTTAAGTTATAGGCCTTGATGCACAGATTGGTAAATTTGACAGGAAGTAAAACACAAGTGTGGAGCGGGTCCTTAGTGGTAATCTGTATTGACTTGGTTGATGATAATCCTTCCTTTGTGTCAATATTTCAGTGACTATGGAGGTGAGACTCTACCAGGACCTGCATTTGATCCAGCAAGTCGCCCAGCTCCAGCTCCTGCTTCCTCTTCCTCTTCCGCATTTCGACCTGTAATGCCATCTAGGCAAATTGTAGAAAGGCAACCTCGGATGCTGGACTTCAGAGTTGAGTACAGAGACAGAAATGTTGATGTGGTACTTGAAGACAGCTGTACTGTTGGTAAGGTTTTTCCTACCATAAAGCCTTCACAAATAAACAATTTATTAGGTAAAATTTCAGTTTATATTCTTTTTTTATGAGTTGACTGCCAAAAAGAAGGCAAAAAAACAAATTGAAACTGGTATTTTTTTTCATACAGATTATTGTGCTCTATTTTTAAATACTGTGTTGAGATTGAGGTGAGTTTGAGAATAAGTTTCTTTGTTTCACATATGTGGAATGGAATATGATGCTGTTTTAGGGCAGATGCAAATCAAACATCTAGAAGCTTAAAAATTACCATAATTATTAAGTACATTGTATATTGGACTTTATAGCTGAAACTCACTCATTTTTCGTACTGTGGTTAATGAGAGATCAGAAATAAGACATGTTGCCATCACTCCTTCTCCCTGCCAGCTGAATAAATGCTTCAGTACTATCCTTTCAAAGAAAACTCCAAGTGTATGCCTGTCAGTTTTGGACAGACTTTACCAAATTTCTACAGAGAAACTATGTTGAACTCATGTTTGATTCAAATTATTTGATTCATGTTTGTTGTAGAACCAAAAATTATATTGATTCTTATTTTATTGTAGTTTTGCCTTAAATCTAAATTCCAGATATTTCTAAAATTCTTTGTTCCTTTTTGGGGAGATCCTTTCCTAATTTTATTTAATTTTATTGATTGAGGTACATTACAGAGAAAAGCAAGGCTGTTAAAAGAGTGACCATTCCTAAACACTAATCAGATCGTTATTCCCTTACTTAAAACCATTTAGAAACTTTCCCTTGTTTTTAGGATAAAATTCAAATTTTTTAATATGGCCGTAACTCCCTGCTTGATCAGGCCCCTGCTACATTTCTAGTTTTCATCTATTACCGCTCTCCTCCTTGTTCACCGTGCCTAAGTTGTAATGGTCTTCTTTCAGTTCCTTGAATAGATTATTGTTAGCCCACTCAGGGCCTTTGTACCTGTTGTTCCTTCTGCCTGGATTCCTCTTCTAGTCCAGCCACTTCTCCCTGTGCCCATCCTCATGCCCCAAAATATTCTCCTGTACATTTCTTTTTTTTTTTAAATTATGGTAAAAAAAAAAAAAAGTATGAGATCGACTCTCTTAACAATTTTTTCAGTGTGCAGTATAATTTGTTAACTCTATGCACATTGTTGTACAGCAGATTTCTAGAACTTTTTCATCTTGCATAACTGAAACTGTGTATCCATTGAACATCAACTCCCCCATATTCCCCTCCCACCAGCCCCTGGCAACCATCATTCCACTTTCTGCTTCTGTGAATTTGACTACTTTAAATATCTCATATAAGTGGAATCACACAGTGTTTGTTCTTCTGTGTCTGGCTTATTTCACTTAGTATGATATCCTCAAGGTTCATCCACGTTGTAGCATATTACAAGATTTCCTTCTTTTTTTAAGGCTGAATAATATTCCATTGTATGTATATAACACATTTTCTTTATCCATTCATCCATTGATGGACATTTAGGTTGTTTTTACCTCTTGCCTGTTGTGAATAATGCTGAGATTGCAAATATCTCTTGAGACCCTGCTTTCAATTCTTTTGGATAAAACCCAGAAGTGGAATTGCTGGAGCATATGTTAATTCTATTTTTGATTTTTTGGGGAACTTCCATACTTTTTTCCATAGTGGCTGCACCATTTTATGTTCCCACCAATAGTGCACAAGGAATCTAATTTCTCCACATCCTTGTGAACACTTGTTATTTTCTGTTTTTTTGTTTTTATTTTTTTATAATGGCCATCTTAACAGGTATGAGGTGATATCTCATTGTGATTTTGGTTTGCATTTCTGTGATGATTAGTGATGTTGAGCACCTTTTTATATGCCTGTTGGTCATTTCATGTCTTCTTTGGAGAAATGTCTATTTAGTCCATTGCCCGTTTTTAAATTATTTACTTTTTTTCTATTGAATTGTAGGATTTCTTTATATATTTTTAATATTAACCTCTTATTAGATATATGGTTTGTAAATATTTTCTCCTATTCTATAGGTTGTCTTTTTACCCTGTTGGTTGTTTCCTTCGCTGCAGAAAAGTTTTTTAGTTTAATGTTCCCACTTGTCTGTTTTTACTTTTGTTTTCTATGCGTCTGATGTCATATCCAAGAAATCACTGGCAAGACCAATATTATGGAGCTTTTTCTTTAGGTTTTCTTCTAGGAGTTTTATAGTTTCAGATCTTATGTTTAACTCTTTAGTCCATTTTGAGTTAATTTTTGTGAATGGTGCAAGATAAAGGTCCAATTTCATTCTTTTGCATGTGGATATCCAGTTTTTCCTGAACCATTTGTTAAAGAGACCGTCCTTCACCATTGTGTAGACTTGGCACCCTTGTGAAAGATCAGTTGACCTATATGTGTGAGTTTATATTTCTGGGCTCTCTATTCTATTCTGTTGGTCTGTATGTCTTTATGCCAGTACCATATTGTTTTGATTATTTTGTAAAATGTTTGAAATCAGGAAGTATGAGGCCTCCAGCCTTATTCTTCTTTCTCAAGATGGTTTTGGCTATTCAAGGTCCTTTGTGGTTCCATATGAATTTTAGCATTGTTTTGTTTTGTTTGTTTTTTGTGAGGGGATCAGCCTTGTGCTAACATCTGCCAATCATCCTCTTTTTTTGCTGAGTCAGACTGGCCCTGGGCTAACATCCGTGCCCATCTTCCTCCACTTTATATGGGATGCCGTCACAGCATGGCTTGCCAAGCAGTGCGTCGGTGCGTGCCCGGGATCCGAACCAGTGAACCCCGGGCCACTGCAGCAGAGTGCACGTACTTAACCACCTGTGCCATTGGGCCTGCCCCAGCATTGTTTTTTCTATTTCTGCAAAAAATGATTTTGACAGAGATCATATTGAATCTGTAGGTCGCTTTGGGTAGTACGGACATTTTTAAAAACATTAAGTCTTTCAATCCATGAATACGTGGTGTCTTTCCACTTATTTGTTCGTTAATTTTTTTCAGCAGTGTTTTGTAGTTTTCATTGTACAAGTCTTTCACCTCTTTGGTTAAGTTTATTTTCATGTATTTTATTCTTTTTGATGCCGTTGTAAATGGAATTATTTTCTTAGTTTCCCTTTTGGATTATTTATTGTTAGTGTATAGAAACATAACTAATTTTTGTATGTTGATTTTGTATCCTGCAACTTTGCTGAATTCGCCATTAGTAGGGTTTTGTGTGTGTGTGTGTAATCTTAGGGTTTTCTACATATAAGATCATATCATCTGTGAACAGAGATAATTTGATTTCTTCCTTTCTGATTTGGATGCCTTTTATTTCTTTTTATTGCCTAATTGCCCTGGCTAGGACTTCCAGTACTATGTTGAGTAGAAGTGGCAAGGATGGGTGGCATCCTTACGTTGTTCATGATCTTTAGAGAAATAGTTTTTAGTTTTTACCATTGAGTATGATGTTAGCTGTGGGCTTTTCATATATGGCTTTTATCATGTTGAGGTAACTTCCTTTCGTTCCTAGTTTGTTGCGTTTTTTTATCATGAAATGGTGTTGAATTTTGTCAAATACTTTTTCTGCGTCTGTTGAGATGATCATGTATGTTTTTCCCATTATTCTGTTAATATGGTGTATCACATTGATTGATTTTCATATGTTGAACCATCCTTACATTCCATGGATAAATTCCACTTAGTCATGGTGTATGATTCTTTTTATGTGCAGTTGAATTAGGTTTCCTAGTGCTTTGTTGAGGATTTTTGCATCTATATTCATCAGGGATATTGGCCCTGTAGGGTTTTTGTTGTTGTTGTTGTTCTTGTAGTGTCTTTGTCTGGCTTTGGCATCAGGGTAATGTTGGCCTCATAGAATGAGTTTGGAAGTCTTCCCTCCTCTTCAATTTTTGGGAAAAGTTTGAGAAAGATTGATATTAATTTTTCTTTAAAATGTTTGGTAGAATTCTCCAGTGAAGCTGTCTGGTGCTAGACTTTTGTTGCTGTTGGGAGGTTTTTGATTACTGATTCAATCTCCTTACTAATTATAGGTCTGTTCAGATTTTCTGTTTCTTCCTGATTCAATCTTGGTAGGTTGTGTTTCTAGGAATTTACTCATTTCTTCTAGATTATACCATTTGTTAGCATATAATTGCTTATAATAGTCTCTGTGATCCTTTTTATTTCTGTGGCATCAGTTGTTATGTCTACTTTTTCATTTCTGGTTTTATTTATTTCAGTGTTTTTTTTTCTTGGTTAGGGTAAAAATTTGTCAATTTTGTTGAGCTTTTCAAATATCAACTCTTAGTTTTGTTGATTTTTTTCTGTTGTTTTTTCTATTCTCTTATTTTTGCTCTAATCTTTGTTATTTTCTCCCTTCTACTAATGTTGGGCTTAGTTTGTTCCTCTTTTTCTAGTTACTTAAGGTATAAAGTTAAGGTGTTTGAGACCTTTCTTTTTTTTTAATGTAGGTGTTTACTGCTGTAAAACTTTCCTGTTAGTACTGCGTTTCCTGCATTCCATAAGTTTTGGTATGAGTTGGGTTTTTGTTTTCATTTGTCTCAGGATATTTGCTAGTTTCTCATTTGATTTGTTCTTTGCCCTGTTGGTTGTTCAAGTTGTTTAATTTCCACATATTTATGAATTTTCCAGCATAAATGACGTGTTAGGTCACAAACAAGTCTTAACAAATTTAAGATTCAAATCATACCAAGTATGTTTTCCAACCACAATATAATGAAACTAAAAATCAATAGCAGTTTCCTTTCTACTCCTTTCTTCTTAAATTTATTAAGACTTGTTTATGACCTAACATGTCATCTATCCTGGAGAATCTTCCAGTGTGCTCTTGAGAAGAACATGTATTCTGCTGCTGTTGGGTGTAATGTTTTGTATATGTCTCTTAGGTCCATTTTGTCTACAGTGGTGTTCAAGTCCTCTATTTTCTTACTGATCTTCTGTGTGGAAGTTTTATCCATTATTGAAATCCCCTACTATTAGTGTGTTGTTGTGTATTTCTCTCCTCAGTTCTGTCATTGTTT